CAGAAACCATGCCAATTTCACTAACTGGGATGTGTATCATGTCAGTTATCCCTAAAATTAATTTCAGCTCATTGCTTTTGACCAAAGCTACTAAGTCCACCCTGGGTTTCAAATCATTAAATATTTTTATCTATTGAGAGGATGTGGGGAATGTGTAGCTGAAACAAGGGATATGACTAATCATTCCTGAATAACAGAGGCTTATGGAGGGAGTCCTTTACTCTCTTATGAGCTTTTTGATAATTTCTGACTATAATGGTAAGCAACAAGCTTTTTCCTTCAGGAGGTCTATCTTTTCCTTTTTCTTTTTTCTTTAAGATACTGCCACATTTCCATTCAACTGCTGTTCGAACTACCAGCAAGATGTCAAGATGTTCTCCCAATCACTCTGCCAAGGAAAGGCAAATGAGGACTAGACTTCCTTGGAAAATACTGTAGAGCCACTAATCATTGTATCAGCTGGTGCGAAATCAGTGAGAAAATAACATTAGAGAGGATGAGAAAACGTCAAGAAATATAAGTAAAATCAGAAAAGGAATTTTAAAATATAATGAAAAATGCTGAATACCTATCACAATATTTACAAATTAAAATGCCAGCTAAAATAGTATTCAATCAAAATGACACTATATAGTATCCCAGAATAGCCCTAGAAATAAAAAGTCTTATCCTGTCCCCACAAATGAGCATAAGCAACTCTTTATTATAATGAAGAGAACCTCAAAGAATAAACCCTTTATCTTTTTTTTTTAACTTTTTAATGTTTTATTTATTTCTGAGAGAGAGAGAGAGAGAGAGAGGATTAGAGAGAGAGGGAGACACAGAATCCAAAGTAGTCTCCAGGCTCTGGGCTGGCAGTCAGCACAGAGCCTGACACGGGGCCCAAACCCACAAACAGTGAGATCATGACCTGAGCCGAAGTTGGATGCTCAACAGATTGAGCCACGCAGGCGCCCCCCTCTATATCTTTTTCAGAGGAGTATATGTCAGAGAATATAAATGCATGCACCATTACTCTGCAACATTAGATGGGAAACAGCATGAAGGCAAACATTAGCCCTAAAGGCTCTAGTCCCTCAATCACATCTTGTTCCCTGAACACATGGGAAGTGGCTATTAGTATCTTCATTTTAGATGTGCCACAACTGAGGGTCAGAGGGGGTTTTTTTCCCCCAAATTACATACAACTAGTAAACTGTCCAGAAAGATTTGATTTCAACCCTTATGGTTGTGATGCCATTACACTCTCAATTCCACGAACCCTACTGTCAACATAAAAACATCTTCTGCACACCTTAACCCATTGATCCTTTACCTCCTTTGCATAATTAAAAATTAAACAAATGAATTTTATGTACTCTTCGCGCTCAGATACTGGCACCAGATACATTATTAGAAAATCACATTCTCCACTTTGAGTGTCCTAACTGCCCACCAGCTTCATGCTCCCATTTTCAAACATGAGCTTGAATACCTATTACCCCACACTTGACATGGCTAAATTATCACACTAAAAGCTCCTACCACAACTTCTCTATTTCTTTTAATTATAGTGAAACATCTTTGACTCCTTCCTCCTCTTCTTATGTAGGATCTTAAGCCTTGGATTCTCCTCCCAGTGTCTTTTAAAACGCATTCTTTCCTTTTAGTTCTTGCCAGGTGGAGAACTCTCATCTTAATCAGCAGATTCCCAACCAGGGATCCTGCCTGAGTCTCCCCCCCTCCCATCCTCATCTCCCAATCTATCAGTTTTCTAGCCTTGTTAATAAACTCTTCGAGTGGTTCACTGTTGGAAATACTTCCCATGGCTTTTTCCACTTGTGTCATTTCCTCTGTCCAAGATGGCTGAAGTTCCTCTTCTCAGCAAGGCCACTTCCTGCTCATCTTCCCTGTAAGCCTCTGCCATGAACTCTATGCAATACATGCCTGTACACAGGGACTGCTTCTTTGTCCCTCAGCTGACATCTTGCTGGTCTTTTGGTACAGTAGCCTGTTCTGCCTCGTGTTAACTCTATATTGTCCTGATTTTCTTTTCCTTTAGAATTTTCAATTGTTACTAATCTATGCATGGCCCTCTTTGCTTTTTTTAAATATAATTATCACCTAAGAACTTGCCACCAACTCTAACTACTAGATCATTCCCAATAACTTATATCCATCTGTGTGCTCTTCCTCATGACATCTCTCTGGTCCTCCCAGAAGACAACTGCTATCCCAAGTTTTAAGTCTATCATTCTCTTGTTTTAAAACAAACTAACAAGCATTTTAATACACATACATATACAAATACTTGTGTGTGATAATTTGTGTTTGCTTATTTCCCTGGCTTGTGTAAATTAGTATAACAATTTTGGGAAAGATTTGGCAATATCTGGTAAGTTCAACTCACACATCCTACAAATCAACAATTCTGTACATTGGTATTTGCCCAAAAGAAACACTTGCACATGTGCCTCAGGAAACATGAGTGATCAGAGCAGCAATCTCAGCAATTTTCTTTAAGTAGAAACAAACAAAAAAAAGGCCACTGGCAGAACAGGGAAACATATTTCTACAGACACATAATGTAATAATGTGCTGCAATGAAAGCGAATTAACTACAGCTGTATACAACATGGATGAATCTTGGTGACAGTATGTTGAATGGAAAAAAACTCCCAGAAGTCAATGGGTAGTATGAGACCTTTATTGCAAGATTAAAAACAAACTAAAAAAAGAGTATTATAATTATTACTTAACCTTTGCAGTTAAAAAAGCAATCTCTCTTTTGCCCAAACTAGTCTACAAACTCTTGAAGGCAGAGACATCTTTCTCATTTGTATTTCCCACAGTGCCTACACCAATGTCTTAAACAGGTAGATGCTCAGTAAGTTATTATCCATTGAATGATTACTGAATGCTACCTGAACAAGGCATTTTAATGAAATTTAAATCTTCTCCCTAATCCAACAGTTTCATGAGTAAAGTCACATAAAACTTTTACCTACTTATGCACTAACCTAATTCTATTTCTACAAGGGTACTACAGATCTCCAACCACAAATATTTCATTTTAGAAGGACGTCACCTCTCTTCTTGGAGTAAAGTTAACATAAGTTTAAAGCAATCTCGGGACAAGAAAACTTATGAGATCCTGCCAAAGTTCAGCAGAAGCACATCGCACTATACCAAGAGACATCTGATAAACCACCATAATTTGAAACTGAGGTAACCCAAGAAGAATCCAGCCACTGAATGCACAACTGAGTAATCAACATCAAAACTGAAAATATGAGCAAAAACAGGATTTTTAAGTTTGCTAAAAGCAAAGATGTTCATTAGAAAATATTTTGTTTCTACTCTGAGGAAAAAAAATTATTTCTTAAGGGAAACACAGGAAATCCCGGGGTTAAAGAATAATTGGAATAATTTTCCACCAATCAGGGTCCTCCTTATAACGCAACGAGGACTATGCATAGTCTCCATAGGTGATTATAGGGAAGCTATGCTGCAGCTTCCCTCCGACCTTGGGAACTCTGCTCACTCTCAGTTACTGCGAGGTCTTCCGTTTCATTTATTATTAGTCTTTGTATCTGCAATGCTGTAGCTTGGGTTAGGACTATCAACACTGTGAGCTTGCAGTACCCAAAACTGTGGAAATGCTTCGAAAAACCAAATGGGGGGTAGAAGAAGGAGGAAAAATCACAACCAAGAGGAAAACAAAGTTAATGATATTAAGATGGGATATTTTTAAATTTTACCTTTGAAGAAAGACTGCATTTATTAATCAGCTCTGTGATATACAACTATCCGCTAGCAGGAATTTTTTTTTTAATTAAGATGTCCAAGAAAAAAATGAATGTGTTTGTTGTTTAGGAAAAAACACATAAGTGAATAACAATTTGCCAAAACTAGTCCAGCGATTAAAAAAAAAAAAAAGAAATTCATATGGAGGAAACAACCTATAGGACTTTGCGTCTTGGAGAAAGAAAGAATCTGGCAACCCAGTGGGTTCACTTAGTTTCGTGTCATTTGCTTCATGTCCGTTATGTAATGCTTTCCCCAGCTTTAGGTCTCTAGGTTTAAGCTACCGTTCAGGTGTATCACAGAATTGCCACAAAATCAGTATCTGGTCATAACTTTCAAAACCAGCTTCAAAGGTGTCATGCAAATGTGTCTACAACAGTAGAGGCTTTTTAAAAAAAAATCTGCTGGTGTCATTACTTCTTCCCGGCTTCCTCCCCAGGTCTCCCTTCCCCTCCTCCCCCAGCATCCCCGGCGACACGATCTGCGGGCAGCTCCCGGCTCGATGCAGGGGAAGCACGTCTTAACTGCATTGCAAACGCTGTCCCGGTCTGAACCAGGGAAGGCTGACTCGGCCCTGGCTGGAGGTGTGGACCAACGCTGCAGGGAAGGCTGCAGGGGAGCCAGCAGCGGGTGGACAGGGGTGCCCCGCGAGGGCAGTCCGCAGTGCACGCGCACAATAAAACCCAATGCACAACTTCCCCAGCCGCTCCTCTCGGCTGCCGGGATTCGCTGGGAGGTGCGGCGTAGGCGTTAGCTGGAGCGGGCGCGGGCGCCGGCGCTCTCACCGCGCGGGTTCGGTTCTCCGCTGACAATTACATCAGTCCTTCTCGCGGCCGCAGCTTCAATCCCCAGCAGCCGGGGGGAGCGGGGGCGCCGGGCAGCGCGGAGGAATGCGGGCGCGAGAGCCGGGCGGCCGGAATTCCCCAACAACGAGGGAGAAGGGAGGGCAGCGAACAGGGACCTTGACTCAGACACCCCCTCCCACCTTGACCGTAGGGCCGGACAGGCATCGCCGCCCCCGCCGCCCGGGCTAACCGGCCGGCCGGGGGAACCCCCGGGCGGGGTGGGGGAAGACGCCTCAAGGGCCCGAAGCCCGGGTGCCCAGCCGCGCGTCCCTCCGAGTGCTCGGCCCTCCGGACGCGCACAATGCCCCGGGCCGCGGTGCGGGCACCGCTGTGTCGGCTCCCGGGGTCCCCCTGCGACAGGACACCTACCTGGAAGGCGAGCAGCGGCGCCGCCGATTCGGCGGCGGCGGCGGCGGCGGGAGGCGGCTCCGGCAGGCGGGCGGACAGGCGCGCGGGCTGGCCAGGGAGCGGAGGCGCGGGCGCCGCCTGCGCGGAGCCGCGGACTCCAGCACCGACAGCGGCGGCGGCGGCGGCGGCGGCGGTGCTGCGCCTCCAGTGGTCCGCCGCGCCGCAGCCCCTCCTCTCCCACGGGCGGGGCGCGCTGGCGGGGCGGTGCTCCCGGCTCCCCGCCCCCGGCTCCCGCTAGCCGCCCAGGCCGGAGCGGCCCCGCGAGCCGCGGGCTCTCCCGCCGCGTGCCGGCCCCGCGGGTACCCTTCCCTGCACCGTCCGCATTGCTTCGGGCTGGCCTCGCAGAGCTTCCGACGCGCGGGATGCCACTGCCGCGCCTCACCCCTTGCCCGGCCCCCTGGGGACCTCTGGGGGCCAAGAGATAACCGGGGCGGAGACCCTGGCCGGGTATCTCCGGGCCTGCGAGCCAACAGAAGCGTCCTCGGCCGCCCAGGCCAGCGGAGGCGGGTCCTCCGCAGTTCCCTAGGGCTGACCCCGTAGGGCCTCGGCGCTGGTGGCCTGGAGCGCAGCCTCTCCGAGCGCCTGGGGAGAACTGATCAGAAAGAAACGGCAGCCCGGCGGCCTCCCCGGAGGCGCTGCCCAGCCGGGGTCTCCAGCGGACGTTCAGGCTGGTCAGTAAACACACAGGACTGTTGTGTGCCCGCCCGCCCCCCACTTCACCACCGCAGGGTCCCTGACCAAACTTCTCGGGCCCAGAGAGACACTTGGGTTCGGTGAAAACATAAAGCTCCACCGTACGACAACCCTTCCCACCCCCCTTTAGACCGTTCCCAGTCTGTGCTCTAGGGTACATTAATCGGGAGGCAAATTTGCTCCAGGGACGGGGTAATTTAAATATTTGCACAGACGTTTCTTCTGTGAATGGGTGTCTGAGGAAATGTCAAAAGTATTTCAAGACACTTCTGTCATCACCATCTTGGGGCTGGGGCGGGAGGGGGGGGGTGGTGAGGATCAGACAACACTGATTGAGCCTAATTATTACAGCAGCAGCGCTGGAGTGCTCTAGGTCTATGCTGTCAAGGCGTCCAGATTGGGGAGCGGGGGAGGGGGGGCCAGGTTTCAAAAATTGAAGATACTGCTGTCCACGGAGGCAACTCAGTGACGGCGTTTCACTTTCTCATACTGTCCTGTTATAAAATAATAGGCGCTGGACCCTAGGACACATCACAGTTTCACTTTATCTCCTCCCATGTGAAGACAGTCTCCTCCGTGGAACGGAACGACTGGAACCCTGGCCGTCTCCTCATCACCACCACCTCCTCACTTCTTCCATCGGGGTTCCACTGACAGGAACTACCGAAACCACTCCAGCTACAAAGAGGGGAAAAGTCCAACCCCGTATACAAGAAAATGCACAAGTGTGGGAGGAGATGAGAGAGAGCACATACAGAGTCCTTAACATAAAGGAGTGCTTCTCAAGGCTTTTCCCTTCTAGTAGCAGAGAACCATGAACTAATTGGTGGGGTGGAGGAGAGGAGCTACCACAACTTAAACTCTTTTTATCGTAAGAATGCTTGCACACCTTTCACTCTAGTCCATAGCATCTCTGTGTTTTACTATTTTAAAAATAGGTGTAAATATCAGGAAAAGGTCTACCTGTCTCATTAATGATCAAATAAGATGTGATGGCGCTACACCCATGGGAACAGGCAGATTAAAGAGAGCCGCCATTGGTATCGAGGCAGCTTCTCCACTCTGCACATCACAATAGTTTGAAAACTCAGATACATGAATATGAATAACAGGCTTTTGACGCTTTTCGAGCTATGGCCAGGCTATTGCTTGGCAGTTGCCAGAGAGCAATGTTTTCATGAAGTGTATATTCTTGCTAAGAATTCATATCACGAGTGTTATGCTGGCTAAAAGGATCTCTGCTCCCTGATTCACTCCTTTTGTTTGTCTCAGAGAAACACTTGGGTGTGGGCTTCTTCAGTGAAGGAAGTTCATGATACTCTTAAAATACTAATAATATTAATGCTATAATTTCATCACATACACATGAACTGAGCTTTATATAAATCATATGTTCACTTCATGCAACTCTCAACACTTCATTTTCATTACGGTTTTTAATTTTTTAAGTTCATTTATTTATTTTGAGAGAGAGAGAATCCCCATTCTCCCCATTGTCAGCACGGAGCCCAACACAGGGCTCAAACTCATAAACGGCGAGATCATGACCTGAGCTGAAACCAAGAGTCAGGCACTTAACCGACTGAGCTACCCAGGTGCCCCTCGTTACAATTTTTCTATGGGCACTATTTTAGCTGGGGTTTCTTAGGAAGGGTGATGTGCTAATACTTCATTGAAAGATGCAGTCCCTGGTCATCAAGAGTGAGGGAAGAGAATATGCAACAGGGAAGAGGGAAGCAAATACATGATGATATGCTCCAAACCTGGTCTATGCTTCATGAACCTGAAAAGGCACAGTTGTTGGGCCACGTGAAGTGTTTGTGGATAGGGCGTATAGAAAACTGTGCACAGGAACAGTCTATCAAAGTGAGGACCAAAGAAGAAATTTACCTGTAAGCTCCCTCCAATCTCCTATTTCGCATTAGTCAAAATTTATCCCACTGACAGTTAACTACCCAGCTTTCAGGTTGAATCATCCCTCTCCTCTGGCAGCTACTTGAGGAACCAATCCACACTCTGGAGCCAGGCTATGGTATCTGTGCGGAATTATTCCGCAGGCAATTTGGTTATACTGGAAACTGTTTCCCAGAATCCTCTTCTCGGTATGCTCCAGGTCTACATGTGTCCAGATGGATAAAACTGAAGTTGCCAGAGACTTGGGAGGCAAAAGTGAAGCAGCAGCAATTACGCTCTGTAAGTTGTCATTGGCTAGATATGAGACAAATATCCACATGCAAGAGTTCTCCTTTGCCCTCACTCTTCTGTGCTCTGTGTTCTCCTCTGCGGAATAAGTGTGACCACAGCTGGGCTAACAGACTCTTTACAGGCTCTTCCAGAGGTGGTAGCCGCAAAGGCCACAACCTTCCACAGTCTTCTACATCAGCCCTCCTGGGGGCCCCACTGCAGCTGGTGGATGCACCTTGCTTCCACATTTCCCTGAAAACTCAGACTGCTTCACCTCTGTGAGGGCTGGTCCATGATCCTTCGGCAGCCCCTTTCCAGACTCTTCCTTCCCCAGATCCTTTCACAAATGTGAGGTCTAATATAGGGAAGTCCTTATTCAACATACTTATCATGCTTCTGTTTCTCTGATTGAACCCTGTCTGCCAGAGGCTTAAGTTTGTGACTCATCTGCTCCGGGAGACCTGCACTGGGTCAGTCAGTTGTGGGCAGTTGAAGCAGGCCACATAGCTGAGAAACCTGGAGCAATGTGAGGCAAAGAGAATCTGAGGAGGAATTCCAGTGGCATCCTATATGAACAGCAAAACTATTCATAATTTTGCTTTGTATTTGTTCATTGACAGTTTTCAGCCTTCAAAATATTTTTAGCGTCACTAAATTCACCTACTTTGGTGAATCACTCTCAGAACCTGGAATGAACGGTGGCTTTTTAAAAAATTTTTAACCTTTGTTGAGACATCATTTTGGCTTCTTGAGTGGAAAACAAAAAATCAAATCTCAGCTGGAAAATTCTGAGCAGTATCTTCCCCCTGCTATGGAAGCATCCCATCTGAGTTCCTCACTTTTGTGAACATTAAGATAAGCATTCCTTTTTGTAACTTACTTTTGTAAAGTCGATTTTTTTTATAAATGTACCATTTGACAAGATCAAAGGAACACAGTAAGAAAATCAGAAGAGAAACTCTTTCAAGCAATGAGTTCTTGTGAGAAAGGTACAATGTTAACTTTTAGGGTGAGGGGACTTCATGTACACTAACCTTCAGCCTGTCACGCCTGGCGTTGGCTTTGAACATGTGCATACGCTTTGTTCCCCCAATTTCTTAATGCTCCCTAAAAATCACAGATGCTGTTGGAACATTTCTTACCAAGAATATTGCCATCAGGAACCTCTGTGAACATCTGGCAACATCAAAAGCCAAACCTTCAGGTCCTGAACCCCGTTTGGTCCTATCTCCTTCATTCCCACAGTCAGGATCTGCCCAGATGACCTGCTGGTATAGCCCAGAGGATGTTGTTATATCTACTTCAGAGTGAACCTTTCATTCAGAGTGTTTATCAGAGTGTCTGAAAGGATAGAAAGAATTGGGATTTTGTTAGGCTAATTGGTTACAGGGGCTTGGGGTTTTTGATACCTATTTTATTCATTTAATTCAATAAATATTTATTAAGTATCTGCTATATATTAGGCATTATTCTGGGTGCTCGAAATATGAGTGAGCAAAACAGCAGGCTTTCACAGAGCTTACATTCCAGCAGAGACAGACAATAAACAGTAGACCTAACAGATAAGTGAATTACACAGCACATTCGAAAGCAGTAAATAATACAGAAAAGTGTAAAAGTTGAGCACATTAAGAGGGATGGAGGTGGGCTGCCATGTTGCAACATTATAGAAAGTGGTCAATCTGGGCCTCACTGAGAAGGAGGCACAAGCAAAGACTTGAAGGAGGTGAGCAATCAGGCAGGCAGATGTATGGGAGTAGGATGTTCCCCCTCCAGTCAGTGACCAGCCTCTGCAAAGCCAATGGAGTGAGCACATCTGATGTGTTCCAGGAAGGGCAAGGAGGCCAGAGGGCCTGGAATAGAATGAGGGCAGGAGACAGTGTGAAAAGAGAGAGGTAACAGGGGCCAAATGCCCTGGAAGCTGAAGGCCTAGTAGTATGGTTCCAGAATTTAATGATATTTTGTTGTTCCTTTTCACTGTATTTTTAGAGTTTATTTTCTGTTTGTAGCCTGTGATACAGTTGTGATATAAAGTTTGTTTTTAAAAATCTTTTTAATGTTTATTTATTTTTGAGAGAGAGAGCATGTGGGGATGGGTTAGAGAGACGGGGGACAGAGGATCTGAAGTGGGCTGCACCTGGATAGCAGACAGCCGGATGCAGGGCTCAAAAGAGCAAAGTCAGAAAGGCTGAGCTTCTAAACCCAGTCTCAACCTTT